TTGACGATCACGCGACCAGACATTTCCTATGCTGTTAACCGAGTCTGCCAGTATTTGCAGTCACCCCGTGACACTCATTGGTCTGCTGTTAAGCGGATTTTGCGCTATATTCGTTTCACGGTGGCTCATGGTTTGCATATTCGGCCGTCTGACTCTGGTTGTCTTTCAGCATATTCTGATGCAGACTGGGCTGGCAATCCGGATGACAGGCGATCCACGGGGGGTTATGCTGTCTTCTTTGGCTCTAACCTGATTGCCTGGAGTGCTCGGAAACAGGCTACTGTCTCGCGTAGCAGTACTGAGGCTGAGTATAAGGCTGTGGCCAATGCCACATCAGAGATCATCTGGGTATAGTCCTTGCTTCAGGAGTTAAGTATACCCCAATCACAGCCTCCTGTTCTTTGGTGTGATAACATCGGTGCTACATACCTTTCTGCAAATCCGGTATTCCATGCCCGAACGAAACACATTGAAGTTGACTATCACTTTGTGCGTGAACGTGTCTCTCAGAAGCAACTACAGATCAAGTTTATTTCTTCCAAGGATCAACTTGCTGACATCTTCACCAAGCCATTGCCTTTGCCACAGTTTGAGACTTGCAGGCGCAATCTTACCCTTCTAGATTCATTAGAAAGTGGCTAAGATTGAGGGAGGGTGTTAGACTGTATTTACATGTGTATATTGTAACGTTGTATACCACCTCATTATATATATATATGTGATAGGCCACTCCTAGAGGGTTGTGCTGGTTCCCCTTAAAGCCTATTGTCTTACATATTGTGATCGTAGTGCCGTCACCAACACGCTTGATAATTAAGTCCAGTTTCGAGAGCTTTTCTTTCCGCCACAATGGCCTTTCACGTAGTGGATGCGCGAGCTGGGGCTGTAGCTTGAGGAAAGTCAGTATGCGGGAAGTTTTTTCCCTTAAGCACCCTTGCGCAAAGGGAGTCAGGGTGGGTGATGAGACGCCATCCGTGCTTACCGAGAGTGTTCAGACCACAAATACTAATCTTTGTTGTTGGTGCCCAAGTACCATTCTTACTCGTACGGGTCCACAAATACTGATCTTAGTCATATAGATCCACTACTACCGATCTTAGTCGTAATGACCACAAGTGCCGATCTAACTTGTATGAATCCATAAGTACCTGTTTTGCTCGTTCGGGCCCTCACAGAAAAAAATATACTTTTTGATTTTGTGAAAATATTTCACGTGTTTACCCCAAAAATACCTTTCCCCTCTTCACTAAAAATAATAATCCTGCTACTTTTCTAAATTTTTGGCCCTTGGCAGCCTGTGGCCCCCACCAGTCAATCACGAAAAAAAATATCCAGCCCCCACGATCTTATCCCGCACCCAGCAATCGCTCCACCCCGTATCCTCTTCCAATTTCTCTTTCTCCCATCCCCTCCACAATTCTCGCCACCACCAGATCGGCTCTCCTCCGATCCACCCGGCCCAGCCAGGTTGAACGCCGCCCCCTTCTCATCGGCGGGATCCCGGCTGCCGCCTCACGCACGACCCTCTCCTCCGCGGCACAGTCCGCTCGAACACCACCGCCCTCCTCACCTGCGGGATCGGAGCCGCCAGCCTCACCCGCGGGATCGGAGCCGCCGGCCACCGCCCACCTCGCCTGAAGGATCGGATGCCACTACTCTTCTACACCGACCCATCACCGGCCACCGGTGGTCCATCACCTGCTTCGCCTGACTGAGAAATCCTTGCGGTGTTTCGAAGAAGTCGTGGCTGGAAATTCCGAAACTGCTGCACCGATGGTGGTGTGATGCCGGCGATGGGTCCGCTGGCGATTCAGTATGTGAGGATGTCGCTGCCAACTCGAGGTGTGTTCACAGGATGATTCATATCATGCTTGAAAATGCGCAATCCTGCCGGCTAAATCTAGATAACCATGAGCTGGTTATTCCAAATGAATGCGAATTTTGACCCTACTGGCCTCGCGATTGGTTCCAAATTTATTTGTGAGGTTGTATGCCAAGGGTATTAGATCATACAATTTGCTATTTCTATGATTTGTATCCTACCTCTCCACTGTATCATGTAGGTAACTTGTGTTATTTTACTCCTTGGTTTTACAGCAAAAAATAGAATATGTATCAATCTTGTAAAGGATGTTTGGGATGCTTTTCAGGGAAATAATTTGGCGAAATATTGATTGCGAGGGTTTGGAACCAACTAAC